CTTTAACTCAACTTCGCCGAGGCTCTTGATCCTTTTTCGTATGGGCATTTGCTGCTCGAGATGAATTGAAGAAAGCTTAAACAATAACGAACGTTGTATGAATAAATTGAGTCGGTAAATTACTTGTAACCATTAATACTAGCGTATGATGAGGATGAATGATTGAATTATTCATACGAAGACCTCTGTATACGGGAGTTTGCGGGGAAATGTTTGGACTGGAGCGTAGCGGGTGGAGATAGTCAATAACTTTAGTTATCTGAAGCATAGTCTAATTCGCTAGTCAGCCTACTCATCTTAATAGCCTATTTAAGGAAGAGATAGAGGTTCCCATATCTCTTATTAAGGGGTACGGGGGTCTGTATACCTGATTTTGTAAGATGTATTAGAAACATCGAGGTGCGATAAAGATAGACCGGGCGTGTATCTTGGGAATCATTGCAGCCGTACGGTTCATACAGACAATCCCTACCTTAGACTTAGTGATCTACGAGAAGAATCCTGAGCTGGGAGGTACATGGTACGAACAGGCCATAAAGGAGGGAATTTCCAGTTCACCGAAGAGGAGAAGCAAGCCTGGCGTGAAGTTTCAAATGCCGACTTTCCACGGGGAATCGCAAAGAGGAAGCCAACTGCAAATTACTGCACAGGTCGAATACAAGGCCGACATGGAGCACAGACTGAAGCCAAAACCAGAACTCCTGGAACAATTCCTGCCGACCTTCCGTCCACTCTGTGATGGTGAGGAATAAATTCGCCGAGGTGAATTGACCGAAGCCGTCTTCCGAGGGCTCCTCCATCGCGTGATCTCATGCAATATAAGTACTACCTACTAGCCCAGAATCCAACGACTCCACATTTTACCCCAGACTCTGAACTACAATCTACCATATCCGAGAGAATTTACAGCTTTTGATATCCAAGAATGGCCGAGAAGAATTCACCCATCATCATCGTCGGCGGTGGACTAGCTGGCCTAGTCGCCGCTTTCGAGCTGTCCAAACGTGAGGTGCACACAGTCATCATAGATCAAGAGAATGAAGCCAGCTTAGGCGGACAAGCATTTTGGTCTCTGGGAGGCTTGTTCTGCGTGAATTCGGCCGACCAGCGTCGGCTGGGTATTCAAGATAGTCGAAAGCTGGCAATGGAGGACTGGTTCAACAGCGCTCGGTTTGATCGGGAGTGTGACTTCTGGCCCCGGAAATGGGCGGAGGCGTTTGTGAACTTTGCGACTGATCATATGGAGCGTTATGTCCGGTCGTTGGGGGTGAGTTTTGCCAGTGTTGGCTGGGCGGAACGTGGGGATGGGAATGCAGGAGGACACGGAAATTCAGTCAGTTTAGCCCCGGGTGGAAGACGTGTGCAGTGAAAGAGGTGTAATGAGAAAGCAAGACTCTAACTCACACATCTTCTAGGTCCCGAGATTTCATATTTCCTGGGGTGCTGGTCCCGCCATTGTGGAGGCTTTTGAGAAACCGGTCCGTGCAGCTGCAAAGAAAGGGTTGGTGGAGTTCCTGTTTCGCCGTCAGGTGGACTCATTAATTGTTGATGAGGATACTGGTGCTGTCATTGGCGTACGAGGCCAAGTGCTTGAACCGTCGGACACAGCACGCGGTGAGGCCAGCAACCGAAGGAGCATCGACACATTCGAAGTGTACGGCAGCGGAGTGCTTATTGCAAGTGGAGGCATCGGCGGCAACGTCGACTTGGTTAAGAAGAACTGGCCCGTTGATCGACTCGGGTCCCCACCGTCAAACTTCGTTATCGGCGTCCCCGCACATGTGGACGGACGCATGATTGGGATTGCAAAAGACGCTGGGGCCAATGTAATCAATGAAGACCGCATGTGGCACTACACTGAAGGTCTACAGAACTGGGATCCCATCTGGCCACAGCATGGGATACGTATCATCCCAGGACCCTCGTCACTGTGGTTGGATGCTACAGGGAAGCGGCTTCCTCCAATGCTCTATCCTGGATGCGACACCCTTGCCACCTTGAAGCACATATGCAACACCGGCTATGACTATACGTGGTTTGTGCTTGATAAGACAATCATTAGCAAGGAGTTTGCACTCTCGGGCTCCGAGCAGAACCCAGATTTGACAAGCAAAAGCAGGCTAAGAACGTTTTACCGAGCGCTTGGCTCGGCAATCCCTGGCCCTGTTCAAGCATTCATGGATAAGGGTGTGGATTTCGTGGTGGAGCCAACAATATCCAAGCTAGTGGCTAAGATGAACAAACTTGCCAAAGAACGAGGCGGTCCCCCCCTAGATGTTGAGAAGATCGAACACGAGATCCACCTCCGCGATATGCAAACTGACAATAAATTCACGAAAGATGCTCAAGTAATGCTAATTCAGAATGGGCGCAACTACTGGCCAGATCGACTGGGACGAGTGGCTAAGCTGCATAAGCTAGCGGATCCGTCACACGGCCCGTTTGTCGCTGTACGTCTGAATCTCCTTACTCGCAAGACACTAGGAGGTCTTGAGACGGATTTGCATGGAAGGGTACTCCGCCCGGATGGGTCACATTTCCCAAACCTGTACGCTGCAGGCGAGGTCTCGGGCTTTGGTGGCGGTGGAGTGCATGGTTATAGTGCACTTGAAGGAACGTTCTTGGGAGGCTGTATCTTCTCGGGGCGAACGGCAGGTATCAGAATAGCAGAAGAGGTGGCGGGAAAGCCACCACGACCTGCTTTGTAAGAAGCTTTCAAGTGTACATATTACAAGAAGTGCTATATGATCATCCTTCTGACGAGGTACTGTTCTGTATAAATGTTATGTTTATTATCTGTGAAGGACAGCGTAAAGGGGTATCATTTAAATCCATGGCGCCTAATGCACCTACGAATTCAGTTTGTATCTCAAGGGTTGAGGGTAGTTGGCCCTCGAACTCATTTATGCTTCCTAGACCCTTGTTAGCGTTACATTTAATATCTGGTAAGACATCCATACGTCTCCTCACATTCTATTGTCAGTGGCTGACTCTCTCTTGATATCCATTTCGATATGAAGTACATATGGGCAGCCCAACCTTTGTGTCGAAAGGTGCACGCCTGATTAAATATCAAACACAAACCGATCGATTATACTGAGCCTCTTAGGTACCTCTGACGGCACTATCCAACAATTGGGGTAAGCAATGTAACAACTGTAAGCATTAAGCTAATCAAGCCCTCCCCATTTGTTCATATACTCCTCATCCTTGAATGTAGGAAAACCGAGGATGTTTTGTCTGTCGCATTGTTACCAAACTAAAAACTTAAATTCTAAGCAGGCACCTTCTGGGCAATACAACCTGAGCCCTGAGGGTGCTTTACTCCCGTTTCACTCACTTTTTCAATGACTATAAGCATCAGCCAGCAAGACATCAATTTCCGAGATGGAATTGACCCACATTTCTAGATAAGCTTAAGCACGGACCCACAGTAAGGCTTGCCCTACGGCGTCACAGGTATCAACAAGAATTTACCCTGCCTTATTGTATGAAGAAGAATTATCAGTATGACTGAGTATGGCCCAACATAAAAGATACAATTTCTGACCCGGTGATAATGATGGATATTAGTAGTCTATTCTTGGATAAGTCACCTGCTAAGATCTACACTACGGTATAAGAGTAACTGCCGACATGGAGAATCATATATGGACCTGATATTAAATCTCTCATGTATATACCTTTCTACTGTAGTTGATGTACCTTCAGCGGGTTTTCCTACGGCGAGATCATCGCCGGTATCTTGTCCATCCTTCAAGATTTCCAATCCGTCGAATATCATAAGGAACCCGGCGGTTGCATATAGTTTACCTGGCTTCGCTATCCTTGGCTCGACTGTCCAGCTACTAATACGCCCATTCAGTATTTACTAGTATTTCTCGAGGTATAAGTCTATGTTGTGTAGTTTGCCTGGGTGAGCGTCAAAAAGCACTCGAATACCAAGGTAACTTGAGTCGACAATACACTGGTTTGAGGCGACTAATAAATCATCATACCAATTATCCAATCATCGACGAGAGATTCACAGTACATCCTGAGACATTACATAAATAAAACCAACTACGTTAATACTAGGATAAGGTAAGAATGCATTGAATTGGGGTTTTGTAAGGTCATGTGATTAAATGGTGTGGCTGGTGAACTGTGGCGTCAGCTTTTGCTCCTCCATCTAATCGGCATCATTTGATATTGTCTTCTCTATACCTCACAGCTTCAATTCCCCACATACACAAGTCCTCCTTTAAATCACTCCTCAACCCTATTACCTAGCAGTATAAAGCCTTCTATGAACCCTCTTCTCCGGTCCTCTGTCCGTCTCTACTCAACAATGTCTGCATCACTGTCCCCCACGTCATCGCCCTTCACCAAGGCCGTGGTGAGCTCCATGAGGAAGCTGTATGCAATTCTACCTCTCCCAATTGCCCTCGCCCACTTGGCCTGAGCAGCATACACCACCCATGAACCCAATTACTAACAACACACACAGCTACCCCGAATCCCTCGCCGACAAAGCTGGGATAACACCGGCCGTAAGCCCCTCTCTCTCCAACCCACCTCACTCAAATCAACTAACACACTCTCCAGTCCTCCTCGAAGCCCCCTTCAACCCAACCCGCCGCCAAAACAACTCCGTCCTGCTAGCCATAGACCTCACGAAAGCCGTCGCAGAGGAAGCCATCGCGCGCAAAGACTCCGCAATTGTCGCCTACCGTACGCGACCCCTCCAACCTAGAAAGATAGAAGATCACTAATATAACACAATCCCCAGACCCGATCATCTTCCGTGGTCTCAAATCCCTCACCTTCACCGACCCCCAACAACAATCCCTCCTCCGCCTCGCCCAGGAAGGCGTCAGCGTCTACTCCCCGCACACAGCCGTCGACGCCACGCCCGGCGGAATGGCCGACTGGCTCTGCGACATCGTAACCGGCTCGATCACCCCCTCGTCCACTACCACCAACACACCAACCCAATCCTCTTCGAGGATCTACTCCGCCCCATCCTACCCAACCCCGCACGCCGTAACCCCCGCCGACGCGAGCTCAGTCCCACCCCACACCAGAACAACCATCCACCCCTCTGCGCCCCCTCTGCCCGAGAACATGGAACAGCCGGAATGGGCCGTCTCGTTACCTTCGATTCTCCACAGCCACTAACAACACTTGTGGATAGAATTGCACAGGGTGTCGGATACCCCGGTGGTATCCCCATTGCGGTTCCGCAGGGGGCGTCGGTGGATGAGATCTCGATTCGCACGGTGGGCGTTTGTCCCGGGTCCGGGTCGAGTGTGCTGATGAAGGGGGGCAATGTTCCTGATTTGCTGTTTACGGGCGAGATGAGCCATCATGAGGCGTTGGCGGCGATTGAGCGCGGGAAGGTGGTTGTTGCGCTTGCGCATTCAAATACGGAGAGGGGGTATTTGAGGGCGGTTATGAGGGAGAAGTTGGAGGGCGTGCTTAAGGGGGAGTGGGAGGCTCAGCGCGCGGAGGCGTTGAAGACGTTGGAAGGTGGTGAGGAGGGTTTGGCGGAGGTTTTGAAGGATGGGGCGTGTGAGGTGCATGTTAGTGAGCAGGATCGGGATCCTTATGGGATCATGGTTAGGAGGGTTTAGGGGTATGTTAATCAGGGGTTATTGGATGGGAATGGTTTTATGTGGTAGGACTGGTAGAATCAGATTATGTGTATGGAATGATATGTACAAAAACTGGAGTTTAAGTATGCTGGCATGGTTAGGATAGAGTGTGGGTCGAATCAACTCAGCAATACCCGGATTTCTCCTGTCGTACGGGGGAAAAGTCTTCTCAACCCCCATTCACTTTCTCCCTCCTCTATGCCCTTCTCGCTCTCGGCACCTGTCTCACTTCCCTTATCCACACGAGTGACATCAACCTTCCCTCTTGCTTCATCAGCGCCGATGATCATACCCTCGACAAACTCGAAGTCGCGACAGAACGCCTCCACCGCTTCCTCCGTCACGCTCTTCACGAATGCGGCGCTGCGCAGGCGTTTCAGGTTGTCTGTGGCGTCCATCAAGGCGGACGGGAGGAAGTCGTCAAGTTGCTGGCTGATCGCGATGAGAGCTTCGGGTTGGAAGGCTGGCAGAGTCGCAATGTCAGCCAGGTTAGGCTGGTGTTGCGGCTGGCTCTCTAGCGGGTGTGAGTTTTGCTTCTCCGTTTCCGCGGATGGTTTCGCTAGCGATGATGGGGAGAAAGGCTCAAGTGCTGTGAGCAATACTTGGAGACCAGACTCGTCCAGAAGGTAGCGGTGTTGGATCTCCAGTAGATCTATGCGGAGGGACGAGAGTTTCGTTGAAATGGGGTTGAGATGTGTTGTACTAACAAACGAGTGTTCCGAAACGGTCGTTCGTACAGTAAGATGGATGTTGGTCAGATAGATTGCACGCGCGGTAGCATCGGATAGCTCCTCGGCTGACGATGTCGCTAACTCCAAGAACGGATCAAATGCGGCGCGGAGAACAGGAGTGAACCGGTTTTCGTTCGAAGTGGACTCCGTATCGTCCGCTCCAAAAGAAGCTTCATAGGTCTTCATAAGGGAAGTCAAGCCTTCGAGTGCATCGACCAGGAATTGGGGTGTGGATAGATCCTCCGAAGGGGTCAGAGCTAGATGGTCTGTCGACAGACTGCTGACCACGTCCTTCATAAGAGCCTCGAAGTGGCCGAAAGTGAACTTTTCCAGTGTCACCAATAATTCCGCCAGGTTAGAATTAGGTCCCAGTAATTTCTGGAAAGTCGTTCGGTAAAAAGACAGTAGGCCAACGACCTTGTAGCAAGTAACCGGGTCATCATGACCTTGGATCACCAACTCGACTCGCTGGCGCAAAGCTCGAGAGACTCCAATCAAGTCGCGGTTAACGAGGTCACTCAGAGCCTTTTGTCCATCAAAAGCGACTTCCTCATGCTCATCGATACGAGACCAAGGCTCGCTGCTGAGTCCGGCTTGGATTCCCCTCGCAAGCTCCTCGCCATCAGCCACAAAAAGGGCTTCGAGGGCCTCCCGTTCAGACACGGTGGTCGAATGCACCCAGGCCAGCATGTCACCGATATATCTCAGGGGATCATGAGCAGAAAACTCAATTGGCTTCACATTACTATCCCCTGCAGTGCCGGAAGCCGCATCCGTAAGCGCGTAATGGAAGGCATCAGAAAGGGTGTAATCACGCGCCTCGGCGAAGAAATCCAGACAGCTGTGGAACAGGCTCGGTCGTTCCGCCAGCACCCGCAGCGCACGTCGGATGGAGCTACTGATCCGGGGATCTTCCAGATTCAGCGATTTGAACTCCTTCTGGATCCACCTGTAGAGCTTTTGATACGCAGAGTTGAGATTTCTGGAGCTCTTGTCCATCAACTCCAGACCGAGGCGCTGATTCTCTCCGCCTAGCAAAGCTTCGCAGTCGCGGTGCACCTGCTTCACACGGGCGAGCACGTCAAAGAATTCGTCATTTATGGGGTCCTCCAGCGACGTCAGGACCAAAACATCATCATCCGGAACGACGAAATGTTTGGTAAAGGCATCGAGCAACTGTTGTTTGGTTTCGGCCTCTTTTTTCTGGTTCATCAACGTGGATGCCTCCTCCAGGACAGGGGCAGTGTCTTGTCTAGCCAGGTCGATGTGCTTTCGCATTTCGTCGCATGTCTGGTTCAAGCTGGTAATCACGGAACCGATTCGCTTTAATTGCTGTCTCGTCCATCAGAATTAGCGTCGGTCTCTTCTTTCACAACCCCCTCCGGTCGTTGGCAAATTACCTCCGCAACTTTCCCAAAGTCACGTACGATCTCCGCATTACAATCGACCACTTCCTTCTGCACGTCCAGTCTCAATTGTCGTCGCACTTCCGGTGTGTTATGTATGTCTCGCAGGCTGAGGGTCTCGAGCGCATCGCGTATGTCCGAGTCGGCATAAGATGCGGAGAGTACACTTGTCAATCGGTTCGTCAAGGCATTGGATCGCTGCGTCGCTGGCGGTGACAACGGGGAAGCCGCTGGGGAAGGCGTCCTGGTCGAAGCATGACCTGGAATGGCCCCAACTGGGGGAAAATAGCTGGTCATAGAGGGCTACTTGGTGCTCCGTGGAAGGTCAACGGAAGCGGGATGTGAAGCAACGCCGGTCACGCTTTCGGGCATCTTGCGGCGGACCACGAATATAGATGCCAAGTCCCGCTAGTCCTTATACGGCTAGCCAACAGCTACTAGTCGTGACACGGGAATCTATGAATTAGATAGAGTAGTGTATACGTATAATCAGAGAGTTTATTAAATGTTGGCTAGGGGATTCCGCCTGGTGGCCGATTGGCCCGGAAAGGGGGTTCTTCCGGCCGCTAAGCGGTCCCACAAAGATGGCTATCAAGGCTTAGATAGTTTTAGATAGCTAGAGGCAAGCAATCAATGAAGGCCTTAAGATGATCCCCAATTAGTGCCTTGACATTAAACGTCAAGTACTAAGTTGGGCTTATCTTTACTGACTACAGCAGTCGTGTTCAAGTACAACAAGCAATCTACATTGGTAAACACGGCTTTATCGGGTACCAACAATATAAAGTCATGAATTCGTATTGAGAACCATTGAAAATGCAGACTCGGAGCCATGAAGACAGTCCACAAAAGATAACCAAGACAACTGATACTTCCCTCAATGAGATTCAAACAATAAACAATTGCATGTATATTGACTGCTCTCCCAGCAAGCAGCCCTATCATCTATCTACTCTGCCGAGTATCCATTAGCCATAGCGTCGCATAACATCCCTACGGATAGCATCACCCCATGCGGCAGAGAAAGGCTCCCCTCTGATGCCGTGGGTCGCAGCATACCTTGCTCGTCCCTCCCTGCTGGGATCTAGCCCGAATCGCTTCATCCAATCGACTGGGGAGTTCCTGTCTAGCAGGGTATTAGCAGAGGTATGGTTGTCAATATATGCACAGACTGACCGAATGAACCGGTGCGCAGGGGTTGGCCTGACGCTGGACTGTCAAGATTCACCTCAAGAGTCATATTGCCAAGCGCAGTACCTATGAACCTGGCAACACCATCAAAAAGTGTGTAGAGACCAGATGCAGGGGCCTCTTGGGGAGCTTCTGGGTCCCGCTGCGAGTTTCTGGATGCTTCCGATGGGGTTGGCGTTTGCCGTCGTTGCGCTGGTGGTTCCCTGGGCTGTCCGCGTGAGGTAGACTCGCTTGTTGAAGCAGAGCTCAGTCCAAGCAGCCGTCCAGCCTCTGTCTCCGACTCTGGGATGTTGGCCTCAAGTTCTCTGACAATCCTTGGGGGATGATACTCAGATACGGTGCGTCCGTAATTGCGCTCAATCATCTCTTTGGCATGTCGTGCAACCTGGCCGCGGTGAATAAACCAGTTGATGATGTGACTTGTATCCAGTCCGTGCGCATCATACTCTCGTCCATGTTGATACAAGCTCAGGTGCTGGGCACCAAGGCCTTGTTCCCACTCGTGTTGAAGTGACACGAGCTGCCGGTTGAAAGTCACCCCCTGTTGAACAGCGACGGTAGTCCAGAACGTGGTTATGAAAGTCACACGGGGAATGTACTCCTCGCCACATAAGGCACGAATAAATTGAACAAACTGACGGTCAGAGTCTTCGAAGCGCGACTGGTTGATACCTGTCAGGTACAGAAGACCGGTGATTCTGGCAACGTGGCGGACAGATTGGATGCCGCGTAGAATCTCGAAGTAGAAACTTTTGTTCTCTACATCGAAGCCAGGAGTGTCCATGATGAAGTACTCCTTACCCTCGATTACTGCTTTGGCAATTTCTGCTTGCTGGGTAACTGGAACAGGTATTACCAACCGAGCTGTAGCTACATTGGACAACAGGCGCTTACCAGAGTTCACGGACTGCTGGGAGTATCCGCTCAAACCAGTGAGGTCCTCCATGAGGGAAGACTTCCCGGCTCCAACCCGCCCGAGAAGAATCAGGAGATCGGCGGGTTTCTTAGTGTTCCTACCAAGACATCAGATCAAATCATAGGTGGAGCCAGATAAAGGCGCTCTGACCTAAAGTGATCGTTCATCTCTGCAAGACACTCCTGTGTTCGCACGACCTTAGAGTCCATGATGGCTAGGGAGGCACACCCGTGAACGAATATCAATGACTCTATTGCTCGACGAGATATTGCAAGGACTTGAAACTATGAGTCCCGAAGATAGATATAGTGGGAACAAAAAACAGATATAGACTGAGATTTTTGGTTGAGATATTGAGAGGTGAGAAATGGTAAGAGCTCGGCCGTTGCTCTCCGTAGAATGAATTAGACCCAGGAGTTATGTCGAAGAACGGAGATGCTACGGGGAGTTGAGGCCCTTTTATAACCCATCCCCATCATCACTTGCATGTCAATTGTGTTCGTGGGATGGTGGAAGGCATATTTCGCAAACATTGTATTGTCCCCAAATGCTACCCTCCAAAGCCAAAGCGGCTATTCCCATGCATTGAACACAACCAAAGCGGGCTGTCCTATCACCCTATATGGCTAGCGCTAAATCGAAACGAACAAAAGTGCGCATTAGCAGTCATCTGGTGAGCGCTCTGAATGGTCGGGTCTGATCCGGTGTTGACGAGGCTGACCTATGTAATGATCTGAAGTGGACAGGTGCAGCGGCAGTATACCGCAAGCCACGTCAAGACCGTGGATTTTGTCTTAGCGTAGTAGCCCCCATCCAATGAATAGTATCTTGTAGGGACTAGGTCCGTGGGCTGAGCTTTTCATTGGAGATGGGCTTCTGTTGTTCTATACATCGTGGTGTAGTGAGATCATAGAGACAGTACACCCCCGGCGTAAGCAAACGTTTGTGACGGGTCATGTTTTAATTTTAGATTTCTCAATGTGTTTTAAGTAGTCTGTCGAAATTCCAGGGTTCCAGCTAGGCTTTCTTCCTCAAGAAAGCCAGGGATGAAAAACCCATTGTATTGTTGGGACAAGCCTCTTTCTGCTTTAGCCATGGATAGGTCTCGAGCAACTATCAAACTTCTTAACGATCGCCGCTGGGAAATTATACGGCTTTACTTGATCGAAGGCCGGATGCTCCCTGAAATCCAACGGTACCTTCAGCAGGGACAGCGTCAATTGGGATTCGAACCCCAACTCAGGTACGTGATCAGTCGGCGATGAGTATATACCGTCGGTGATTCTAACAGGCTTATCAGTATTTGGCATTTAAAACGCCTGTTAAAAGAACACGGTATCATCAAGAACCTTCGTGGAGAAGCGCTATTCATCAAGGATCATCTCGGCTTGGCATTAACGACTTGGGACTGCTTGGTGTTTGCAAATGACTTTCTCGTGGACAACCGCCATGTAGAGCAATCATGTCAAAGGAGACAAGGATGTCTGCGACATCCTGAGAAAATACATAACAAATTTCTGACATTCATGCATCTTCCTTTTGAGTTTAGAGCCCTCAGCCAACCGGACACATTCAAGTCTTTCCAGCAGCTTTTGTTCTATACTCGGGTCCACTTTGATTCCTCCTTCGAAGCTGGCAGATGGGCACCGGATAGTCGAGGCCTGTACGCGAGGAGCGCAACACTCAAAGCTGATCTAGCGGTGCTCAGTAATATGCACAACAAGATCTCTCATGCTTTGAGTCAATTCAAAGCCAAGAATCCTGAACGCGCCCAGCGCATGATGCAAAACACGTTCGAATACCACAAAGCTATAGTTCAGAACTATCACCATCGCCAGTTTTCTGATATCCTTGCAATTCTACTGCTGATTCAAAGAGCTGGTCTCACGCATGGAGAGGCAATGATCAGGAATCTTGTGACCTTAGCAAGGGAAACCCTACCGCAAACCGATCCCCGGAAATCCATGTTCGAGTCCCTGAGGGACTTACCTCTCGACTCGACGGGTCACTTATACCTGGCTTTTGATACCTATTGTCGATATCTGTGGAGGTCAAAGACTGGCCCACATAATTTCAAGACATATTACTCCTACAACCAGGCTAGCTTCCCGAGAGCAGATCCAGTTGGATTCTTTGACTTCTTCAAAGAGAAGGACGCGGTAGATATCACGTACATTCTCGGCAAGGTAGACGAAGAGCTAGGAGAGTATAGCCATGAGGCGTTTACACTATGGCATACGGCTATGAGGTCTCTTGGTCAAGAGCAAAGATATACAGAGATAGAATCTCTGGCACGCTATTTATGTATGCGGGTATATCGCCTTGGGAACGAATTCGATTACTCTGAGGAGCGACAGTTGAATCTCGATGCTATGCTGAGCTTCTATCTCCTAGGTAATGCGTTGGAGGCACAAGGGTATTTGTACCAGGCTATAGTTGCTTATGAGAATTCGGTGGAGATCCGATGTCGAAATGCTCCCAACAACGGTTGGGATGCCGGGAAGGCAGCTTCATTGCGCCGGGTGAAGGAAATTGCGACAAGACTCGGTATATTCTTAGCAAGTGACTATATCTCTATGGAGGATAGTCTATATTCTGGTGTGTAATTAGAAGACCAGGCATCGGCCTTGAGCAGGTGGTCAGAGCTAATTCTCACACTGTGAGCAACTGCTACGGGTAGAAACTACGGGTTAGTGATTATAAATTCATATTTAATCAGCTAGCCTTGACCTTTCGCCCTCCACCGCTGCTTGAGGTACATACATCTTCATTTGCGAGGAAGTCGGTTGATTGTCCTTCTCCCATCTACCACCGTTCGGGTTAACCCAAGCTTTCAGCGGTTGATAAATTATAATATTCGTTGGATTTGCCTTGACCTCAGCGCCTGTCCGTAACGTCAGGCATTCGCGCTACTCCTCATTTACAAATTCTGTACTAGAAGGACTGCAGGGATGTCTTTTTTAGTACTTCTGCTTAAGGAACTAGCCCCCATCCTTTCAGTCCATTAGCTAAAACTCAATCTTTATTCAACTAGCTAAATGATTTAATCAACTCATAAAACAGATCAGACTAAACGAAAGAGCAAGGTTATCGTAATTCACAGCAGGGGAAATGCGTCGGCGCGTGTAGTACAGTCACTTCGTGGTGTCATGTAGCTCCGGTGATCTCTCAACGGTAGACCACATCAGCTATAGCAGAGCGGGCGTCGACTAGCACTGTGAATCTCAATTACCCAAACTCCTAAGAGTGAAGGGCTTTGACGATTCGTTTCAGTCCCTCATCAAGCTGGGCACGGTGTTGAGAAAAGGTAATGCGGAACCATCCGGGCTGCTCACTACCGAAGTCATCGCCAACTCCAAGATGCACTCTGTGCTGCGCCAACTTTTCTCCCAGCTCCCTACTTCTGTTCTGCTTTGCAGAGTCGCTGTCATCAGGTGGACTGTTGGGTTGGACTCTCCGATACGCTGTTAATAGATCACACCAGACAAAGAGCCCCGCGTTCGATCCTCTTGTATAGGGTATTCCATGGTCATCCAAGAAGGTGACAACATAGTTGTAGGCTGCAGCAAGCTTTTCACGGTTTTCCTTGATATATCGGTCCACGAACTCCTCGTCTTCGAGAATAGTTGTCGTCAGATAGTCTGCGAAGCCCGAAATCGAGCTAAACTGGCCGACCCCTCTGATCGTTTCAAGCAAGTCACCGTTTTCTTGGGATATAATCACACCTAGTCGCACTCCGTTCGCGCCAAAGTCCTTGCTAACACCCCATAACACATGGACAAGCTTTGGGTCGATCAACCCATCAGGGTTGATGGAAAGCACTGAAGTAAAATCTTCCATGGGCGTCGCCCTGTCCAGACCATGTCTCCAAACTGACAAAGCATATATCTCATCGCTGATCAAATGAATCCCATATTTTTGACAAAGCTTCATCAGCTCCGCAAGGAACGACCGCGAATGACATCGACCCAAGGGATTGTGCGGGTTGCAGAGCATGATGGCTCGTATAGTACAGCCTTGGTCACGGGAGCTGAGAATAGCTTCTTCGTATTTGGACACAGCCGAAACACTGATGGGATCTACTTCGTCGAAGCTGACTGGAACGAGCTTAGCTGCTGGCCGCAAGCAGATATCTCTGTTGAAACCTCGATAATACGGGCGCCAACCAGAATCCCTTCGCCCGGGTCACAGAAAGCCCAGGAGCAGTGTTCGGTTGCTGACGATACCCCATTGGTGACAATGACCTGCGATGGCTTGAGCGCTTTAGAAGGGCTGAGATACCGAGTGAGAAAATGAGCGATAGCGGTCTTAAGTTGGACAGATCCAGTGATGGTATCATTCAACAAAAGATGTCGTCCGGGAAGATCGAAGTTGCTGTTCACACGAAGTAGCAGCTGTTCTTGCATCAAAGCATTGTCTGCAAGTCCGAGGGTGACGACGCCGTGAGGGTTGCTCTGCGAATGCCAAAGGTCGCTAAGAATGTCCCAGAGAGCATTGCTGGTGTTTTTCAGCGAGTCACTTGCCCTGAGAGACAAGGAATACGCAGGTCGACCGGCAGTTCCATGAGGCATGTCATCTTGTTGTACAATGGATGTAGAAGGCATGCTGACGAAAACTATGGGTCTTATAGAACGCTGCAATGTTTCAAATGCCACAATCGTATGGTAGTCCTGTCAGCCTTTTGAGTTACTTAGACTCCTGAACCTCTTCTTCAACAGTCCATTTCAGCGATACATGCCATCTACGGGCCTTTATAATAACCTACAAGAGTGAGTCAGACGTCAAGGGGTTGTTGGGAGTCCGCGGGCTCAATTTTCATCAAGTCCGAGTTAGGGCTTCTCCAAAGTAGCCGTTTTGGATGTGGGTCTGGGGCGCCTTCCAACATCCTCCGGACAATGACTCCTCGAGCAGAGGCTTAAGAAGCGAAAACCTCGGCTTAAAGGCTATTTTTCATGGATTCAAAGTCTTACATGTATAGAGGGAGAAGCTGGTAGCATCATTAGTTTTCCTTGCTTGGCCAATTGAATCTCGCTACAACATCCACCAGTATTTCATCGCTAATTACGTTCTTGTAATTTGAATGATGGTAGAGAACAATCTGTTTGTATGTGGCAGGGATACTGGCCAAGACACCCGTTACCTAACCCCTCCGTATTGTCGACATAAGATATGGCCAACCCTTGGTTAATACCCTGAACTATTGGTTCTACCAGTACAGGCGTCCGTTAACTAGCGGAATATGTATAACCAAGTGCAGTTACTAAGGCAAAGTGATAACATCGAACATGCACTGCGGGGAATAAAAAAGTAAGAAACCGAGACAAGTTTAAGTTGTTTGGACCCTATTTGTTCGACACTAAATGAGGGTCGAGCTAAATCTCATCATCAACGTATCACAGTAGATCATGCGCTACTGCTAAGACGGCGAGGCATCTTGAAAGTTGGATGTTTCAGGAACCCACCTGCACTAACATTAGCCAGGATGATATGGTTTAGTGCGGGCCAGATCTGCTGGCCCCACGTAAAATTACTTCCCATCTAGGAAATGGCAATGAGTCACCTACTGAAGCTTCTTCCAGCGAGCCTGTTCGAGTGGACCTGCAAGAGCGCTGAAAACGTCCAGGCAGAACACGCACATAAAAGAGCGAAAACTGTATATACCGTGACAGAGGATACGTCTCTTTGTACGCCGCCCTATAAGCATCACCATCAAGCAACATTTGAGCAATACAGAACATAAAGATACCAGGATCTCTACCAGTTCTGATACCGACCTAGTTAGGGGGTGGTGCGACATTATCCAAAATATCCTATCATGATGAGATTATGCACTTTGCACAATCTTCTCCATTGTATTAGACACTACTTTATCTGGCCTTGATAACACGTGTTTTACATAGAGAAGCCATTCCGTGCTAGTATGCGCTTCTCCTTCGATAACCTTGATATAAATGTCCTTAGAATTTCCTTTTTCCGGGATTCAAAATAGCTCACAATATCTGGTGCATTACTTATATTCTAAATCTACATTCAAGGGTGTTATCCCATTAAAGTCCCGTAGATTGAAATCATCAGGTATGGAGCTCATTGAAGATGGTTGTAAGTTTGCTACTCTTTTTATCTTATTTCCATGAGACCCGAACTTCCATTATCCTTTGCACATTCAGAGCCTACTTTAATTACACTTTGACCTGGGCTTCTCCTAACGACCTCAGCTAGATTATATGCAAATTGAAAGTATGGTCCAGTAGCTCTCCTCAATGGTATACATACATCGGGCGGACTAATGTTATTCCTGCTATACTCCTATGCAAGTAGCGCGTCTTGGCATTTATTGAGTGCAGACTAACGGTTTTATCCCCGTTGGACGAACCGCAATCTACTAAACTCCAACTTCGATATACTAGCGACTATACCCTAACGAATACTTTTCCAATTTTTATTACATCAATTCGTAAATCAAAGCGGAATCTTACTACGACCAGACCACCCCCTCGATTCCAACATTTACCGCCAATGGACAGCCCCCTCCTCTCCCCCACCAAAGCGCGACAAGCAGCCATCCAGGCCAAAGACTGGGCCTACGTCAACTCCTGGCTCAGTCGTCACTATGCCCCGAACCCAGTCCCCACATTCGAGCGAAACGAAGATACACTGCGGACATTGCTTGCCCTAGCGGCTGCCAACGATACCGCCGACGAGGAAGCGGCCCTCGTACACCAGGCACGCGAACAAGCCGTGCAGGGATTCAAGGCGCGCGAAGAGACCGAAGAGAAACAGAAGAAGGAGATACTTGACGAGCTGGAGCTTTGTCTCGACGATAGGGGGGAGCAGGATCTGGACGATCTGGCGAAATCGGCTGCCGCGTTGGGTGCGCTGAGCGCGGATGCGGGACACCTGGGGCAGTCGGTTATCGAACTGACGAAGGAGGAATTTGGCGTTCAGGATCAGTTGGCGAAGGTGGATATGCTACATGACTATCTGCAGAGGGAGTTGGAGGCGCTGCGTCGGCAACTGGATGAACTCAGGTCCGATCCGGCTTATCAGGTTCCGGCTGATCTGCCGGCTAGGACGGCGGAGTGGACGAAAGGTACGAAAGCGCTCGCTGCTAAAGTGGGCGAGTATCAGGATCGGATTGCTACTTTGAAGAGAAATCAGAGTAAAGGGCCTACGTTGGAAGAATTGCTGGCGGAAGAGGAAGACGTCAAGAAGCTTATGAACACGGTCAAAACTTTGGAACATCGACTTCAGCTGTACCATGACCTTCCTACAGATGTCCAAGGGGCGCGGGCTAAGTATCGGGAGTTGCTAGAGGAACTCAATGAGCTTACCCAGGAACGAGACTCGAAGCTTGATCAATCCGTACGGGGGAAGTGAAATGGTTCAGAATATTGGGTTCTGATTAATTCATATGGTCATTAATCGACACGGAATACTAAGCTTAAAACAGTACATGAGGATTAAGTCATCAAATCATAAAATTATCCATGATGAACGGCCACAGGCGATCCTCCACACACAAGCTTAGTGGTCACCGAGACCAATGGCGTCCTTGGCCTTGTCGAGGCTGCCGAATCCGTTAGTCTCTCGGCAATAGCTCGAATGCTATGCATGAACACTTACATCGACTTGTCGGTACCACCGTGAGCCTTATTGTCATGCATGCGCTGGCCCTTGTCAAAGGTCTCCTGCATGCCAGACTTCTGGTCGTCAGGCTGGACGCCACGGGCGACACGGTCACCAATATCAGTGGCGCCCTCCTTCATCTTCTGCTGGGTGGACTTGGCGGAGTCGGGAGTGAGCTCCTCCTTGGCCTCTGCGAGGAAGTTAGCGAGACATCCGATGCAGCATCATGTTCAAGAATGTCAACGTACTGGTGCTCCAGTCCTTGCGTCCGGCGTCAGACATGTTTGCGAGTAGTTTGGTAGAAAGTGTAAAAGTGGTTAAAAGTGTAAGATTGGTAGAGTAGTTGCAGTCAGATTGTTTGTCTTGTTGAGATTGATGAAGAAGGAATAAAAGATCAGAGAATTGAGGGTTTATATATCTTTCATCTGCTGCTATATCCGTACTCCCATGACGTTGATGGCCTTGATTTCTCTCCGCTACGCAATTCACCCGAGGCACATGTATGTTGAGGTCTGGCCTCTGAACGTGAATCTAGAACGGTATCCATGGAACGAGGATCTGTGAATCTCGCGTCATGGTGACGAGGGAACCCGCCAATGACCATTAGACAGCCGTACAATTGGCGATTCCAGAAGAAAGCAGGGATAAACATTGAAATCGTCATCCTTGCGAGGTGACAGTCTGGACCGATGACGTCGTCATGACCTACAGGATAGACTAGGCCGAAACAGACTTAGCGGATGTAGTGGGTCATGGGGAAATATAATTCCACCGGATTATATATCCCACCGAAGGCCGAGAAGGGACCTTCCGTTTTCAGACTAGTGTTGCTGTCGGCTCAAGGTAGCAAGCGGTAAGCCATGGCAGTACCACGACAGTTGTTCACCGCCACGCGGCGAGTCATTGCAGGCGGCGAGTCTCCGAGTCTCCGTGCCTAACCTAACCTAACCTAACTTCTCTCTCGTCCTTTGTCAACTTACCTTCTCTTTCAATGCGTTTGGCGTGAACATCGTCGTCTGGTCGGGTCTCAATGACCACCATGTTGATGCGCTTTATCTTTATGCCCTATCTGTTGCGTTTGAATTGTGCACATTTATAGTTGTCGTTTGTACTTGAACGCTTTCTACTCTTCCGTCTTTCAAACCCCGCGCATTGCCACCAGGCACATCCCTACTTCGAGCGGAATCCCTACACAACATTGTATCTAACATCTGTGTCCATTGCTGTCAATGCCATCGTCGGCCACACCTTCTTCAAACTGGGATTTCACTCCGGTGATTAATCTACTGCGCTCGCCGACGTACAGCGGCAGTGACCGTTCCATCCCTGCTCGCCACAATGACTCCGACCAAGCTCCATCCACTCCCGGGCCCAGCACGGTTGCTGCCCAAGGTCTAGCTGACTCGGCACCTGATCTGAAGCCCGAGAGGGGTGGACCCCCAAAGCTTGGTGATTTCTCTTCACTCTGGGATTTCCTTGGCAACACCACGCCTGGTGCAGAAGCTGGACTTCGTCAAGCGACCAAGGAAAGCATTGTCGAACAACCTCCACAGCAGCCTAAGCAGATTCAGATCCTCAAACGTCCTTCTCCCGGGACCACAACCGTCGATAGCCCTGGTAAGGCACTTCCGCGTACGCCTCCTCGGCCGATCCCCACATCAGATGTGTCCAAGTCCCACAAGACTGCTGCTGAATATCGTACCACGAAACACCGCACCCAAACCAAGCAACCAACCTATGAACCTCAGTTGTCGGAGAGCACTGCGGAGGCAGAGTCCGATAACCCAAGCATCTTCGACCCGTCTTACGGCAAACGGGGCGTTCTCTCTTTAGTCCCGTCTCAGGTGGGCATACCGGAGGTCTTGAGTGAGTCGTCCGAAACCCCGCCATCATCGTTTGATGAAGCCGGCGGGGCTCTAGCCCCTATCGCTATCCAAAACCTCCCCGGTGGCGCCATTCGTGTGCAGCCCATTGCGTACAAGTCGGCAACCGATCGAAAGGTTGGTCTCTTAACGAAGCTGTTGAAGAACTTCCCCGACTACGCAGAAACTATAACTCAAGTGGGGCGGTCTGGTAAGTCCAAGCCGGGCATTCCTCCCACATCTCGCCCGATTCATGTCTTTGTCGATATGTCGAATGTAAGTTATCTTCCCCCGTCAGTGTCGTCCGACCTTTACTGACCATCGCCATCGTCCAGATTATGGTCGGGTTTCACGATTCCATGAAAGTATCCCGGAACATCCCTGTGAAAACACGGATCCGCCGCTTGCCACTCTCATTCCAGAACTTCTCGTTGATCTTGGAACGTGGTCGGCCCACGGCCAAGAGGGTCTTAGTGGGCTCCGACCGCTTCGCTGCGATCGACGACGGCGAGAAACTCGGGTACGAGACGAACATTCTCGACCGAGTGCACAAGGTGAAACAACCGACTCGTCGTCAGATGAAATTCCGCAAGGGTACGCGGGCAGGCGCTCCGGACGGAGGCAGTGGTTCTGAAACGAACGATGCGCCGGAGGAGCGCTGGGTCGAACAGGGTGTGGACGAAATTCTGCACCTGAAGATCCTCGAAAGCCTGTTGGATACGGACGAGCCAGCCACCATCGTTTTAGCTACGGGAGACGCGGCGGAAGCTGAGTTCTCCGGCGGATTCATGAAGATGGTGGAGCGAGCGCTGCGGCGGGGGTGGACGGTGGAACTGGTGAGCTTCTCCCAGGTGACCAGCTACGCCTATCGCAAGAAAGAGTTCCGCTCGAAATGGGGGAACAAGTTCAAGATGATCGCGTTGGACGGATATATCGAAGAGCTGTTGGACATGTAATTCGGATGGTCTGGAAGCAGGAACTTCTTGCCTATGAGCCTAGATACCTTAGATAGTCGTCAGGCCTATATTCGCAGGGTCTCATTGAATCTAAATCTCTCTTTTACACGGCATTATCATAAGTACTTAGTAGTAGTCTATGCATAGTCTAGACCGTAGTCCCGTGAGTCACACCAAAGGGCAGCTCGTGTGAGAATGACCCCGCCCTCCAATCAGGAGGCGATAAGCTTACCGCCCGCCAACAACGAACGAGACGTCATGTCCCTCATTGGCCCGAAAAGCTTCAAATCCATCCCAAAGCAGAAATCAACTTCCTCGATCTTCTCCTTCAAACACCACAATCCTCCTCCATGACTCACGACCCTCCCAAGAGACACCTATAAAGACAGCAACCCCAGCATCTGGAGAACACCACCACCACCACAATCCCTCCTAATAACATCAACCCCACCACAAACCAACCTACCCCGCATCACCCCAAAAAAGATACCAAACCCCCAAAAAACAAGATGACAACATACACCGCGCGCGACTTCTACGGCGGCGCCATCAAAGGCCTAACGCCCCAAAATTGGGTCGACGCAAGGTACGTTATCCCTCAACCCCCAAAGAGAAACAAACCCCCAAACACAACTTACTAACAGAAAGAAAAAAAACAACAACAGTGACGTCCGCGAAATTCCCTCCCACCAAGAAGTCTACCTGTCGCCCACGACGCTCACATCCCAAATCACCGAGATAAACCAACGCGTCACCGACGCCGAGACCCTCGCCGTGGATACACTCATCCCGGGTCTGCAGCACCAGCAGCTCGACGCAGACGCCAAAGCAGCGCTGTACCACGTGCACGACCTCTGCGACGAGGACGACAAGCTGGAGATCGTGGCGGCGCCGAGTCGGGTCGTCTTGGGGAAGTTCCCGGCCGGGACGGTGGCGTATCGCGGTGTGGTGAGAGTTACTTCGCCGAAGGGGAGACGGGGTACTACTGGCTCTGGCTCTGGGGTTGGAATTGGGGGCGCGGTTGCGGGGTCGAGTTCGGAGGGAGGGCTGACTAGTACTGTGACGCTGTGGTATCTGCTGGTCAGGCTCGTGGAGCAGGAGACGGATTTGGTGGTCTTTGTGAATGTGCCCAGGGAGGAGTTTGACAAGGCGGGCGATTTGAGGGCGTTGGAGGCGGAGGAAAGACTGGCTGATGGGTTGATTACCGCGTTTGTGGAGGGCTGGAGGTTGTTGACTGGGATTTGTTTTGTTAGGTTTCTTTTTCTTTTCTTTTTTTGCATTTTGGGGGTTGTTTGGGGTGTGTATGATTCATTGATGGGTTTGGGAATGATGGGACTGTACTTGGAGGATATCATGAGATTTGGACTCTTGCATGGCGGGCTTGGTATGTATGGATGGGTCAAGGAATTGCATGTATCATGGATGAAATCATGACTAGCACACTGGCATGTATATAGAAAGACTAATTAGATAGCTTAGTGATAGTCAATCCGAAATAAATCGATTATGAACACCCAAGTACCACCAATGTATATACATACTCGTGTGCTCATTGCATAAGGATCGTTGTGTACATCAACCTCAGAAAAACAAGTATCCCAAATGAGAGACGGACAGACATATCATCGCTAAAGAGAGAACACCATATGTAGATATATCGTCATCAAATGAACGCTAGAATGACAGGCAAATCTTCCCGAAATGTATGTAGAATGAGAGACAAATCCGTAAACACCTTTAATGACTTGACCGAACAGCTGCAAGTGCCTCAGTTACGCAAGCTGATCTCGCCCAACACATTCGCGACCTCGTCGACGGCCACCTGCTCGGCATCTCCGAGGGGCTGCTTTTTTCGGGGCGAGACGTTCCGTGGCTTTGGCTTGATCTGCTGGAGCAGACCTTTGCATTTTCCACATCGAGACTTGGTCGTATCAATGCTCTTGGAATGACGCCCGTATGTCTGGCCACAATCCACACAGCTCCATACATACTTGTAGTCAATCTTGTAGCTGTGCTTGGTTGTGACTTCGAAGCGTCCGCCATAGACAGGGTGGTCCTTCAGGGCTTCTTTGCACTTCAGCCCCCATTGCTTGAAACTTGCTCCATGGGGGTTGTTGTGGACGTTGGAGATGATAAAGTTGGCCAGGTGGCAGTACTCGTGAGCTAGTGTGTTCAGCAAGCGATCCTCGTCATCAATAATCCGCTCAGCCAGTTCGATGCTAGCATGGTGCTTGGACAGAGATCCTCCAGGTGTCTGGGGCTCGGTCCCAAGCGTGCCCTCCGTGCGTAGCTTCTCTCGCTTCCAGTTGGCCCGTCCAGCGGTAGTCTGAAGTGTCTTGCTCCAGATGATCTGAACACCACCCGTTTCCTCGGCCATTTCTTGGATGCGGCCACCAGTAACGTGGTCATCTAAAACCTTGAAGAAGTCCTCTGCGACGGCGGCCTTCTTGTTATCAAACGACTTCTTGCGCTCAAGGGCGGCTTTCTTCTTCTCCGTCTCGGCCTTTTTCAAGGCCGTCTTGCTAGGAGGCTTGGCCGCCTTCTTTGTTGTCTTGCTTCTGGGCATGATCTCGGGATCGATCTCGTTGTCTGACTCGTCGAGTTCCTGCAGTAAGTTCTGTAATTTGCGGGGCGAATGTTGATCGATCCATTCGTTTGTAGCTTCCTGGGACCAGAAGGCATCTACGCTCTCGCGATAAGGTGTGGGTGGAATATGGGCTTTGCCTTTTGAGGGTGACTTTAGAGCACTTTTGGAGGGGCTGGCAGGTGGTGTTTCCAAATTCACTTTTTCGATCTCTGGACTCTGGGAGCGAGGCTCGAATCCTCCTAGAAAACTATTTGACAGTCAACATTTTAGGCCTCAGCGTATGTAGCAGCATCGAGACCTACTTATCCAAGTCTTGTTGGAGTTGAGCGGACGGGTCATATTCATCAGCGTCTACTTCGTCGGCAGCAGCCTCTTCAGCAGTGTCGTGGTCAACCGCATCATCGTTCACATCAGCATCGTCGTCCTCCAAATCCAGACGGTCCATCTTCTGATTGATGTTGGAGGTATTGCGGAAAAGCTTTCTTGGACTGGCCTGGGGGTCCGAAGAGGGCATCGAAACAGCAGCGGGTAATGACGGCTCGAGGCGAAGGTTGGTATGCACTGAGCTCTCCAGAGCTCTCTTGATTTGTTCCTCGGGGTTCAGTCGTCTGCCCCGAACCAGTCTCCTTTTCACTCTCGGCGGCGAAGGTGCCCTCTTACTCTCTTCTGGTTCTGAGTCGCTGGCAGATGCCTCGTGATGGCTAGGCTCGTCGTTATCACTGACGATGAAGTCATCCAGAGAGTTGAATCCATCACTTTCCTCGTCCTCAGACCGATTTGCCGGCTGGCGATAATCCCGGAACTGACGGCCATTCTGTCTTCTAGTATTTGCCTCCCGCGGTTCTCTCCTGGTAGGAGAACGCCGCGTCGAGGATGCATCAGAGGGATTCCGGCTAATAGAAGAGGTAGTGGAGTAATCTTCCACAACCTCCTCCACGGGATAATTCTCCTTTGTGTAATCATAGAGCTCGGACTTCCTGGTCGACCGACTCCTGGAGTGCCTCGACTGCGGCATCAGCAGCGAGTTAGCACGTGCCAGCTGCAACGGGTCGCTGGGACGTCCTTCCGTCGAAGAGCGCGTAGTCGAGGAGCGCATCGTTGATGCGAAGGAGACATCATCTTCACGGTCGCTCAGTCCATCGCTATCGGAAAAGATATTGAACGTCCCGCTCGATACAGTCCCGCTCCGTTGCAGCTTTCTCTGTCGTTGGACAGGCTTATCGTTTGTCGTCGCCCTCGCAGTTGGTCGCTTAAACTCCGGTTCGTCGAATAATGTACCCGAATGATCTCCCACCTTGGGTGTGGGCGACGTGTCTCTGAACTTGCTCGAGAAGACCGAGTTGGTGTTGGACTTCAGTCTGCGGACTGATTTGGTCACATTCTCACGCGTGCCGCCTTGTTTCACGGGGCTCGTTGGGTTGAGTCGAGCCATGGTCGTTCTGCTAGTATATATATATATATATATATGTGGCTTTGGTAGTGTACGATCGTGGTGGGTTGCTGTGATTGTCGTGGTTTAGTAGGACATATCAAATATCCGGTCTGTTAAAGCATAGGCAGTGTCGGAAATATAAGTAAAGCTGGATGGAGATATTGCATGAGCTCGAGCTGCTTTCAGTGGAAGTGTTGACGATATTGAGTTGCAGCTGGGGGAGGGTCGTTGGCATGGCAACGCTTCCCGCTGATCCGTGGGTTGAAACTTGCATTGAATTTGTTGATCGGCTGTCACGGGTTACCTCTCGCTGAGATTCCCAGATTTGGCCGGGCGTTCTAACTTCAATTTAGTCGAGAGCTTCACAGGCCCACAATGCGTTTCCCTCCAATCCCCGGATAGGACTGGAGTTTGAAGTCCCCACTGCTAACCGCTCATACTCTGGAGTAGATCGTCCTTATTTACATTTATCAAGGTTAGCTATGGAAGGCACCATAGACATCGCCGCAGAGGGTGCAGTTGATTGAAAAGATCGGCGCCTTGACTGGCATCAAACGCGTTGACAGCGCCACCTGGTCCTTTCTTTGGTTCTCTGATGTGGAACGCCTCTAAGAGCTACTTGATATGATTCAGGAATCTCGACCGGGGCAGGACATTGCCGTGCAAATTGAGCTTCCCCCGAAAGTTATATGAAGACCAGTCACCGACATTGAAAGAAAGGCCGGCAGCACTGATAGTTACAGGGTTCAAAATACTAGCCCATATTGGATATATAGGGGACACAGTTGAGGGTGTGTCTGAACTTATAAAATGGTTATCTAGACGTCTTTTCAACCACCCACTTCATACATCTCTGTCATGAGGTGCTGTGACACGATTACTACCATAGCCTATCTCTCGAGCGAAATATTTGGACCGAAAATGTCGGTCTCAAAATGACAGGCGCATGGCATTTACAGGAGTGAGGTCATCAGACCGGTTGTTGCCACCCTTGTGAATCCTGAGAATTTTCTTGTCTTGAAATCTTGTACGTACCAACTATCAGTGAGAATTTCTTACGCATTCTCAAAAACGCGTTTTGCTGATGAATATTCCATTTACGCTTAGGGACTGCTCGTCGCAGAACAAAGAGCGATGAAAAGGATGATACCTTGGACACCGCACAAGTTTCTCGAAAACGAAAGATAGAAGAAGACCCATCAGAAGCAGCCTCACCATTCAAACGTTCCGATGCCGCAAAAAAACTGGTAAGCTTATTCTTTATTTATCTTTGGACCAAGGTCTTCCCCACCTATTGTGACAATATAATATTATTGCTAACAATAAATAGTGTGCACAGAGAGATCAGGAATCCTGTATTGTGACCAATGCTGGCGAACCCATCGAGGTTTGCCACAGTTTCCCTTTTACCATGGGGAAACCGAGCAGCGAGGCCCACTCTGTGTTCTGGGGTATTTTGTCAGCGTTTTGGACTCAGGAGCGAATAAATGAGTGGAAACAACAGATTATCGGAGACGAAAGAACAGAAGTATGCCAAAACCTGTTGACACTGTGCCCCAATGCGCACAGACTCTGGGGACGAGGTCGTTTTGCCTTTCAGCCTGTGAATCTTTCTGAAGATCAGAAATCCCTTACACTTCATGTCTTCCGGCTGCCGACCAGACAATTTGCCAAAAGAATGAGCATCTCCACCCAGCCGTCTCTCCCCCCAGCCTTGGAATCAGGGCCAAAACATGCAAAGCTGTTTGATTGTCTCTCAGAGATAAAGATTTGCTCAAGCCATGGGATTACTATGACCACTGATGATCCTCTCAACAGGCCCTATGGAGCACTCACTGATTATCACATTGAGATTGTACAACCCTTAGCAAGGCGATTGCTCGAACTTCCTTTGGTTGAGAGCTTGATGGGTCCTGACTGGGACCATGGTTATTTAGATGTTACTTTCCATGATATCTATGGAACTTCTCCAAATGCGAGGGACTCTGAATCGACCCGTCGCAATAAGTGGAGCCGCCGATGTGGACGATGACGAGCTGGATGATACTGAGGAGGAGGAGGAGGAGGAGGAGGAGGAGGAGGAGGAGGATGG